ATATATATATATATATACCTAACTACATACACATACATACATACATACCGAACATAAATATAAATAAAATAAATAAATATCTATATATATATACAACTACACACATACAACCTAAATAAGTATATAAGGGAGCTAGCGTGATCTATGACGTGGACATATAATAATCCTTAACTTTAGCTTTAAAGGTAGCTATTGACCGTGCTTGTCTTACCGACACTGGGAGTGCATTCCACAAGCGAACAGCCTGAATCGTAAATGATTTATCATACGTCCTAGTAGAATGCTGAGCCATCTCAAGCCTCAACCTCTCCGACGCTCTTAAGGATCTTGAATGTGTGTCATGATGGAACTTGAAGCGTTCTTTAAGATATTTAGGGGTTGCAGGATTATACAGAATACTGTAAAGTAAGGATAAGATATGCATATTCCGGCGAAGGCGGATCGGAAGCCACTTGAGTTTATTGCGATATTCGGAAATGTGGTCATATTTGCGTAAACCAAATACGAACCTTATACTGAAGTTTTGGAGTCGCTCAAGCTTATTTAGCTGTACCTCGGTAATGTCTAGATAGCTGACATCGGCATAGTCAAGGATGGGAAGAAGAAGTGATTGAGCGAGCGTAATTTTAGTAGCAGTAGGAAGAAAGTTTCGAAGTCTACTCAACGACTTCGCTGATGCAAACATTTTCCGACTGACCTCCCCCAGCTGGGGTCCCCAGGTAAAGTCTCGGTCTATAATAACACCCAAATCCTTCACCGAGTCACTGTATGTTATTGTAGTGCCATCGAATACAACTGGTGGGACCTGCGACCAATTTATTCTTGAGCTCAGTCGAGAGCTACCCACAACAATGAGCTGTGTCTTCGAAGGGTTAACCCGTAGCCCGTGAACCTTACTCCATTCCGAAATTCGCGCCAGATCTGTATTTATCATTTTAACTGATTCGGAGAATTCATGAGGAGGTGCCTGTGAATAAATTTGCAAATCGTCAGCATACAAGTGGTAGGATGATAGAAGATCGTTGGAGATAGAATTTATGAAAATTGCGAAGAGTAAAGGAGAAAGAACGCCACCCTGCGGTACGCCAGCAGTCGTATTAGACCAAGAAGAGAAGGAGCCTTCAATATGGATACGCTGCCGGCGGCCACACAGGTAACTACGAAACCAATCAGTCACAGCCGGAGATATGTTAAGAGAGTTCAGTACTCCCAGCAGTATATCGATATCAACGGTGTTGAAAGCATTGCTGAAATCCAGCAACGCTAGAAGAGTAAGATTTCCGTTCTCAATGCCAGATCTTATGTCATCTGTAATGTTGACTAGTGCTGTAGTGGAACTATGTCCCGGACGAAACCCGGACTGGAAAGGATTGAGAAGATTGTATTTGGTGAGGAAAATACTAAGTTGCTTGTGGATGAGGCGTTCGAGGACTTTTGAGAGACCTATAATAGATTTTTTATTTTTTTTTTTAAACAAACAAATTTAGGGAAATTTTACATAGGTGTGACCTTAAATCTAAACTCACCAAACTTTAACGTTTGATAGATGTCCCACTAATATCTAGGTATATAAATAAAAATGAATTTCTATTCGTTAGTCTTGCTAAAGCTCTAGAATGGCTGAACTGATTTGCCTAATTTTGGTCTTGATAGGTTCGTGGAAGTCTAGGGAAGGTTTAAAAGGTGAGAAAAACTTTTAGGCGGTACGAAGTTTGCCGGGTCAGCTAGTATTTATATGAAAAAAATGTCAATATTAACTCGTTGAGTACCGTCATCATAGACACAATTAATTAAAGAACGATAGGTTGTGGTCACCGGTGACCGCTCGGTGTATGACAGTTTAAATACAACAATTTTTGTATTCAACAATGCATCCAACTAATTTTGCAGGTCATGTTGATCCAGGAGAATCTGACTGGGTAACAGCTTTGAGAGAGACAAAGGAAGAAGCTGGTTTGTCTGAAGAAGATTTAGAAGTAAGTAGATGTAAAATAAAGTAAAATGTGTAGAAACCTTTTATTTTTGTATCACTGGCATTTTTTTTTTTGTTATTAAAGTCACTTATTTTTTTTTTCTTAACTCTGTATATCACATCTTCAAACATTCAACATAACAGAGATATCAAAGTTATAGTCTATTGTCCCTTCCACATAATTTTTAACACGTCGTGTGCCGCCCGTAGATCCACATAAGCCCATTTTTTTTTTTTTTACTGTGTTTAATATACCGGCAGTCAAGTTGTTAAAGAATACTTCTGATTTCCTAATAAATGACGTATATCCATTTTTACAGGTGTTCAAAGATGTGACAAAGGTATTAAATTACAATGTCAACAACAAACCTAAAGTGGTTGTGTACTGGCTGGCAAAGTTGAAGAATCCAGAGACAAAAGTACAACTGTCAGATGAACACCAAGATCTAAAATGGCTGTCATTGAGGGAGGCACAGGAAATAGCTGGTTATGAAGACATGAAAGCGCTATTACTAGAATTTAATGAAAAAGCTAAAGATTTGTCTTGAGCAAATGTGCTTTATTTATGTTAAGGGGAGGTCACATTCTAAGGTTGATACTAATAAGCTTAACTCGTCGAGTACCGTCATTATAGACACAATTATAGAACAATAGGTTGCGGTCACCGGTGACCGCTTGGTGTTTGACAGTTCAATTAGTGCAAATAAACTAAAATATGTACAGAATAAAAATAAAATGTTAAACATTTCACTTTTTATTAAATTCAAAATATTTATCATGACCCAGAAAAAGAACATTTTTTTTCGTCCGGGAATCGAACCCCTGCGGCATGTTGCACAGCAGTCAAACACTGCCATGAAGTCATTATATCATTCAAAGTATCAAAAAAGCTAAACTTGCACCAACTTTTCGTAATTCATGTTGGGTAGCTATTAGTTATGTTTTTATAACCAGAAAATCGGGGTTCGAACCCGACCCTTGAACTAGAATTCGAGTTTGACTTCTAGAAGGGCAAGAAAGTTAACATTCATAGGTATAAATAAAAGCTTATAACAAAAACGTTTATAAACTGTTTATTATTTAACAATAATTGTAATATTTACGTAATTAAAAAAATAACATTCAGCTGTATCAAGTTCTGATCTATGTTTGATAATGATAAGTTTATTGTACAACATGCATTTACCAACGACCTCGCTCTCTCGAATACTCGATCGAAAATTCATAACTTTGTTCAATGGCTTCTATCTCTAAGTTAACGTTTGTACTTATTAGCTACGTAAAAGGTTATTAACTGCGCTACTAATAAAGTTTAAAGTTTGTTCTTAACATTACTACGCAAGAAATTAACACCCAGTTCTACTGCATTGATAGCGGTGCCCGGCGCAGTCATCACTCCATACCCGCCGTGCCCGTAACAATGCACCACTTTCAAACCATCTATCAGCTCGGGCTCCACACGAACTGGCAGTCTGTGAGGTCTCAGACCTACTTTATGCGCAATGACCTCCGCATTTTTCAAATTCGGAAGAAACTCGCAACAACGCTCCAATATGGCCGCTGCGTCGTACTTGCAATAATTCAAATTATAACTGTCGTAACCTCTTACACCGCCCAATGTTACCACCCCATTCAGACCCGGTATAATATACGTATCATAATCTCCATAAAGTGCGTATTTGACCCAGGGCGCTTTGACCTTTATCACTTGACCTCTGATGGGTACCAGATCGTGATCATTACATAAATGTCTCGCACCTAAACCCGCACAATTAAACACAAGGTCGTAATTCGAGAGTGACGCAAAACTTTCCACTTTATCGCTTATCATTTTACCGCCTCTCTCGACTATTATTTTTCCCATCCATGGCAAATAGCGCTCGCATTCGACTTTCAATGTTGAAAAGTAGGATCCGAATTTGGTTCCTTCAGGCCCCATTCTGAGTTCCTCTTTCGTAGCAGGACGGTAAATTGGTACTAAATCTTCCATGAGATGATTTCTAGTGACATGATAGTTTTCCTTTGAAAATATGTAAGACCCTAAGGGCATAACACCCATTTGTTCAGCGTCTGGGGTCTTGAGAATGTCTTGCCAAAACTGCCATGAGTCGTTCAGCCATTTTTTGGTAATTTCCTTTGTGGGTCCTTTAAAACTTGTCCCGGGTCTGAAGATACCAGCGGCTATGTCACTGGTAGTGTCTGCTGAGTATTTTTCAGCTATGACTGTGATGTTTGCATTTCTGAGTTGGTCTTGAAAGAGTTTGGCCACTGTCGTGCCGATCACTCCTGCACCGATCACGGCTATATTTGGCTGATCCCGCATTTTGGATGTTGTTGTTTCCTGTGAACAAGTTATAATATTTACCTATCATTATCGTATCGTATCAGCTAGGTCAATGTACACCTAGCACACAGAGACCTCTCAAAGTCTTATAGTTATTGTGAAGGAATTAACGTAGTCAGTAGAGCATCCGGTAATGCCTAAATAATTAACGTAGTACGCAGTAGGTACGTTACTAAAATCTTACTAATCTTCGGTTTTTCTTAATAAAATCTTACTGAGATACGGTTGAATAAAATGAATAAAAACTTACCAAACAAATATATATAAAACAGGATGGAACGCAAACACTGGTTATTTTTGGACTAAATAAAATAACACTGTTGACTGCCTATTCCGAACATTTAAACGTGAATTGAGATAATTAAGCGATTCAAAACAAACATACACATTAATGCGTCATCTTGTATAATATCTAAACTTATCATATAAAGGCTATTCCTCACTGGAGGGGAGATATTCAATATTTAGCAGATGCGATCGAAAATTCTGGACAAACAAATTAGCGAAATAAATACCTTATACTTCTACTTATCATCATCAATTTGTAGGTTCTATTAACATGACTATAAAGGCCAGAATATGAAGGTACTAATGCCTATTCAGTCAATGTAAGATATAAATGCCTTCTCCCAGAGGGAATTTATTAAAAACAAACCAATTATTTCTTTATTATTTTCAATAATACAGAGGACTTGTTTACCGATTCGCCTGAACTCGCCGAAATATCTCTGATGGTACCTAATTAATTAAAACCAATGATATCTGTCAATCTGACCTCCAATGTGGAAAAACCCTTCGGACTACAACAATATTTATCACAGGATCTTGTTTTCCATCAGGCGACAATTAAGATAGGAGTTTCATAATTTATAACAGACCAATAAACATCGGCCCCTCCTTTCTTATTTTTTAAAAAAAAGATGATGGCATTTCTGTAATAATTTCAGGAGCTACTTATGTAGGTAAGTAATCTAGATACATATTAGCTAGTAGGTACTTCTTTACGATTTCGAACCGGAACGACTGGCTCGGGAAGCCCGAAACCAAGTAGGTACAAAATGTCATAAGTATCTCATCTTCTAAAGACACACACCACACGCTGGCTGGAGCTATTTGGATAAGGTTACCTAATTACATACATACCTACCCTTAGTCTGCGAACCTAACGGGTAACCGGGGCTCCGGCTCGACGTGCAGAAGAAGGAACGGGGTGGTTTTTAGTAAGAGTCTGACACTAAAGGCGGGAGCAGTCATTGGATAATTTTCCCGCCTTAAAAAAAACCTTAGTCTGCCATACTAGTTACTATTATGGTCATATCATCATAGCAGTTCACTATTGATTGTTGTTTGTAAGTAAGTTTATTTTAGTAACCAGTGGTGTCTATTTGGATGGACTGAACTAGACTATTTTTATTCGGTAGACAAGAGCTTTATAACGGTGAAATCTTATCTCCTGCTAATCACTTAGTTTAAGTCGATCGCCGAATGGTGACGGTCGCGGTCGTGGTAGAGTACTTAAGTAGGTACCTACTTGGCTCCCGCGCATGTTACGATCGTAGCCCAAGCCCATCACGGTGGAACACACGGTGGGAGAATGCCCTTCGTGGGCTGAGCACCGCCGTGTCCTCAGGGAAGTGATCGGCGATGGCGACCTCTCGCGTCCGGGCCTAGTGCAGGCCATGATGCGGAGCGAGGGGGATTGGGATGCCGTCTCCTCCTTTTGCGAAGCAGTCATGCTAGCTAAGGAGGAGGCGGGACGCGTGAGGCAGCGAAGCGCTGCCTCCTCGCAACCCAGCCATCGCGAAGGACACACCGGGCGTCGGGGATCGCGGGACGATCTCCGGCCACCGTAAGCGCGGGCCTGCGGACGGCGAGCATGGGTGGCTCCCCGTCCGACCAGAAACAGACCCGAGCGTACGGCGCGTCGCGTTCCGCGCGCGCCTCAAAGAGCCATCAGACCACCACAGATGGGGCCCAGTAGGGCCGATGCCGATTCGGAGTCGCGGAGAACCTAACGGGTAACCGGGGCTCCGGCTCGACGTGCAGGAGAAGGAACGGGGTGGTTTTTAGTCAGTAAGAGTCTGACACTCCCTCCCGCCTCACCCAGGCGGGGGCAGTCATTCGATGATTTTCCCCCCTTAAAAAAAAAAAAAAAAAAGCCCAAGCCCATATTATGTATTGTATTACTATACTCTATGATCGCAGCGCTCTTTGACAAATTTGATACTTTTAAATGCTTTTGCTAATCGTTGAGATGAAGATTATGGGAGAGCAAAAAAAAACAAAATCGTTTAATTTAAGGTCAATAATTAAGCTACCTAATTTAATTATTCGAACCATTTCGTTAATCAAACGTAAAATAACATTATCAATGTCAATTTAGTAGAAAAATAGCTTCCCATTAGTCGTAATAGGTAGGTATACCTACAGAATTTATCTAATAAATAATAATAAATGTGCACCTCTGCCTACCCCTTCGGGGATAAAAGGCGTGATGTTTTGTTTACAAAGAATGGTAAACAAAGATTGCATAACATTTACATTCGATTTCGAAGCTAGACGAAAACGCCCGTCGATCACTTGTTACACAGCTGGTGTTTGTGTTTATTTGACCTCGAAGTTTTTATTATCTCTATGTTATGTTATAAAATTGATATTTTTATTTATTTATGTTTTATTTTATGTGTTCATTTCGTGATTTATTCTGAAACTATCATTAGCAAAAACATCCATTACGTATTAGTTAACTTATATTTCCAAACTCCCTAGCATTAGCAAGATTTGATCATTTATGGTTTATTCGGTTATTCCACTTTAGGTACAGAATTGTACCCATTTTCAATAGTAATATTGTAAAAAAAATATTGAGTGTTATTTTATTTATGCTACACGGCTACCTACCTTCACATAAATTACGGAAAACAATCAACAATGCGCAATGTAGAGCTAGAGACGTCGCGCTGTCAAGTCGGTCGTTTGATAACAGGTTTATAACATAATTATATAAGATTATTGATCAGTCCCATTAAATAAAATTTTTCGTTTGGAGAAACTCTATCTCAGCCATTCTTAATCGAATAATATTTAATTATGATTGATTTTTATAAAAAATTAAATTATTTTTAAGAGCGAAATTCCATTTCATTTTTTACATAGGCAATATTTTTTTTCCTTCAGCAACCCAGACTTCACAAAGTATTGAAATGACACTGACAGTGAGACAGTCTGATACTTCTGACAGTGGCGGTTGTTATTGTTATCACTTCGTCTGGGTTTGTTGATATCATGCTGTTTTTACACTCCGTTTGTTCGAGTTACAGCTATTTTTAATAGAATCTTAAACTAAAGAAATACTAATCATGAATAAAAGTGGACAGAGTACAAAATCTGGACCTAATGAAAGTGCAACGAAGGACATTAATCCCATAAAAACAAAAGGAAAAGTTCGCGGGAAGAAAAGAAAACGGTAACAAGTTCTTTATTTTTGAATATTTTTTACTAATTTAATGTTGTAGCATATATTATTTGATAGTTGTGACATATTTAACTTTAAGATTTCTAGAACACGCTAGAAGAATGGAAAAGCCTTTGCATAATAATATGGTATTTTTGGTATAAACAGAAACTTAGTCTTTAATGAGATATAAATTACCATTACCGGCATGGTATTAAATCTTAAAGAGTGTCTGCTTTTGTATAGGATGCGTCATTATGAAATGCGCAAGCTAAATAAGAATTAGTGGTGTATTTTTTATAATAGTTTGTAATAAGTAGCCTTATACAGGTTTGCTTATAAGGAGATGAATATAAAAACGTTTTTATGTAAGTCCAAGCTAACTGACCATCTAAACAAAATTTAATATTGTATAACCTGTTGACCAATCCTGTCGAAATAATCAGACAAGAAACAGGACCACACCTGATTTATTTTTATGGGATTAGCTGGTAAACGAGCTGACGGATCACCTGATGGTAAGCAATCTGCATCGCCCATTAACAACCGGAACATCAGAGGCATTACAAATGCAGTGCCGGCCTGTTGGGGATTGGGAAAATGATATAAATTGTCTATTAACCCTTTTAAATAGTGTAATTGCTAAATGATAAACTATTTATTTAAATCTATTATACTTTCAGCTCAAGTAGCGAATCCAGCAGTGAACCGAGCAGTGAACACGAAGTTGTATTACCAGAGAATGCTGCGGATGTGGACAGAAGCCTTCATGCAGTTGCCTTAAAGAATAATCTAGACGAAACTAGTGTCAGGAAAATTATTAAGGTAACTATTTTAATTTAAACTACATTCTAGAATTGTAGTTCAATGGCCATCGCTTTAATTTTCTATAACACTGAGGTGGAAAACCGAATTTGGTTTGATGTTTTGATAAGTTGCTGTGCACTAAGTTGAACTTGTAAATACCTTTATAAAACAAGAGAAGATATTACATGCACATACAAACAAATAGATTAAATGTGGTCTTGTGGGTGTCCATGAGAGCTTTGGGTGACATAACTTTGAGATTACATCTTCTTGTTTCACCATATATAAAATACAAAAAAAAAGTCTAGTAAATAATAACTGAGAAAGAAGGTTTATCTTAGATATTTAAAAAGTTTGTAAGAACTGCTAAACTATAATAATTTTGTATTTGATGATTCCAGAAAGTGGTGACAAATGATCGAGTACTGGCACTGGTCAAAATGCGTGAAGAAGAAGATTCCGGTTCTGAGGAGCTACCAAAACTAACGAGAGCTAAAGTCAAGTAAGTTTATATGGCTTCTTCTACATGTCATCAACCCATAATAGGCCTTTCGTTAGAAACTTCATCTTAATAAGAGAGGTTTGCCCTAATGTCCACATTTGTATAACAATAGGGATGATGACAGGGTATGAAAATTAAAAATGTAATTAGTCCGCCAGTTAGGTAATGAAAAAATATTAGACATGTATTTTTTTATTTTGTTGTATAATAAAATATTACTTAGACTTAGATATAATGAATCAAAGTTTAGGAGTGGGGGCTAAAACGTTATTTCTACGTATAAAATGTTAATAGAAGTGACGTCACGTGAGATTTCAAATCAATATATCTTCAAAACTATTCGTTTCCGTAAAAAAATAAAAGATACGTGTGTAATGTTTTAAAATAAAAAAAACGAAATATAAATTTGTAGTTTTTTACTTATATCACAAAAACATTTCCTGTTGGGGTAACATAACCCATATTATTAGAAAGAAAAAGTCTGGCTGGGGTAACGTTACCCCAGCAGGAAATGTTTTTGTGATATAATTAAAAAACTAAAATAAGTACAGAAGCCGCACAACTAATTATATACAGGATTCAAATGACCATTTTCGACAACATCTGGCCTGGGTAACGCACACCCAAAATCCAGTCAAAGAGATCGAGATAGTCAGGCGAAAAAGCTTAAGTACCCCTATTTTAATGGGACTATCGCCCGAATAATCCAAAGTTACTCAATTTTAAGTCGCGCTTATGTATCATACTTTCTCTACAAATTGTTTGTAAAATGACAGAGATACCACGATATTTAAGTAAAAATTTAAATTG